ACCAAGCTAACCAGTAAAAGCCTTATCAAGGAGCCACCAAGAGCACTTCCATCAACACTAGGATAGAACAGGACAAGCCACTAGTTACTAATACATAAACAGAGAACAAATCAATGAATGGCTTTTTTTTTTTGATGCATGGATTTGAAAAGGTGAACAAAATTAAGTCTATAAATTCCATGGAATATCAGCAGAATATCAGCAGAATGTAGTTCCTGGAATCTGCATGTGTTCGGTCAGAGCTTAAGCTTGTTCTCTTCAAAAGAAAGTCACTCCTAAGTAACTCACGGTGCAGCTACTAGGAGCACAGGGCAGCAGAAGAAGCGAGGACTTCTGCTTCCCAGGAGACTGCTGTGACAAATCACAAAGAAACATTGAAATGGTAATTTTTCTGAATGACTCAATCATCAGTTTAAAGCATGAAAAGATTGGAGGGGGCCTGTAGCATACTTTTCTCATATACTGGGACAATGGGACATGCCTCAGTGGTGATTTAATTAGAAATAACTGAAATGGTTTATTTAAAAACTGCTGCGTATTAGGAATCCAAGCTTTACACTTTCCTATCAAATAGCATTTGATGATTAATATTTTAAATCCCCTCTTATTTTTTAATTCTCCTAGTTAGGGGATTCTCTGACTTTTCAGGGGTATGTTTAACACTCTAAATAAACACGTAGCTTGTTCTTTATTTCTTATTTTATTTTGGCCTCATATTATCTCCCTTGGCTAAAATGACAATAAACCAAGGACTAATTTTAATGTACTATTCGAGATGGCCTGGCTGCTGGCATCTTATCTGAGCTGCAGAAAATATGGATTAGCAAGGGTCTCCACATTTTAAAAACATTGTTTCTGCAAAGTAGGTGTTTTAGGGGGTCCATTTGCATGTCTGACATCATCACCTCTTTCTGTAAAAGCCATAAAATACTTCCAATCTCATTACACTATTGAGTCATTGTCAGGAATTATTTTTAGTAGACTAAATATTGGATTATGCAATGCTCAAGCTTTCAGAAATGGATCTATTTTCCTTTTACATTTCAGATTTTGCCCAAATTCATATTATTTTTATTACTGTTTCTCTAGTCAACCTTTTTTTCCCTACACTTACCCTTCATGCCTCAAATTTCATCCCAATTCCTTTCGACATCAAAACTTTTTCAGTTTCTCATTTTTGGATGGATGTACAACAATTAAGCTGATTTTGTCTTAGCATGTATTATACGTGCTTTGAAACAGGGAACTGCAGATCTTCTATTACCACCAAGCCTGAAACTGGCATATGAAAAGGAAAATTGGAAAGAAATTAATTGGTGCAAGAAAAGAATTCATTTAGGCAATTATTGTAGGATAAGAAGGGGCAGAACCAGGGGTGGAGTTAAGAAAGTAATCAGTCTGGAATCGTTACATTGCCACAAAGATCCAGCTGCCTCCCAAATTCCATTAACTCTTGTTTCGCACCAATTTAGTATTGACTGTTAATTGACTAGAGTCTTGTATACAGGTAGCCCTTGACCTACAACAGTTTGCTTAACAACAACAATAATAATAATAATAATAAAGTTGGAAGGGACCTTGGAGGTCATCTAGTCCAACCCTCTGCTCAGGCAGGAAACCCTATACCATTTTAGATAATGGCTGTCCAGTCTCTTCTTAAAAACTTCCAGTGTTGGAGCATTCACAGCTTCTGCAGGCAAGTTGTTCCACTGATTAATTGTTCTAACTGTCAGGAAATTGTTCCTTGGTTCTAGGTTGCTTCTCTCTTCGGTTAGTTTCCATCCGTTGCTTCTTGTCCTGCCTTCAAAGTTCAAAGTTACAACAGCACCGTTCAATGTTACAACAGCACTGAAAAAAGTGACTTATGACAATTATTCACACTTATGAACATTGCAGCATCCCCATGGTCACATGATCAAAATTCACACATTTGGCAACTGACTCATATTTATGACGGCTGCAGAGTTCTGGGGTCATGTGATCACTTTTTGCAATCTTCTGACAAGCAAAGTTAATGGAGAAGCCAGATTTACTTAATAACCATGTTACTAATTTAAGAGCTGCCGTGATTCACTTAACAAGAATGGCAAGAAAGGTCGTAATATGGGAGCAAAACTCACTTAACAAATGTCTCATTTAGTAACAGAAATGTTGGGCTCAATTGTGTCACAAGTTGAGGACTGCCTGTGTACGCTTGAGCAATAAATCTTTTGAACTGGAACTTAACATATGATTCTGACCCTTTGCTCCTGTCATTGATCTACTTGGATCATTTGCAGCAATGTAAGGATTCCAGACTGGTTACTCTCTTAACTCTGGCCCCTAGCTCATAAGTAGCAATAGGTTCTTACACATTTCTGGTTCATGGCTAATTCGTGTGGCATTAAATGGGGCCGTCTGCAGTTTTGGTGGAGCAATCTTTAAGCAGCTTCCTTTAGCAAGAATTCTATGCTGCTCTAAGGTGTTGCCATGTTAAATGCCATTTCCTCTGGTGAGAGATTTCTGTAGCCTAGGATGACCTTCCCTTGCAGCTGAATGTGAGGTTCAGATTGCAATTTGCAAAACAGCATCTGCCGGTTTCCAAGTTACTTTTGACAAAGAGATGACGGCTGCCTTTGCGATGCCCTCGCTGGAGGCAAGACAGCAAGACCAGAGCAGTCAACGGCCCTGATAGTCCCAGGTTGTTCCAAGTGATAAATATCTAAGTGATGACCTCTGTACCTGGTGGCTGCTTTGTAGGGGTCATGCTGCAAAGAAAATGGAATAGAAAACTGCCAAGTGTAAATGAGAAGAAATGCTTGATCTCTTAGTTCTTTGATGCCAAGGGGAGAAAAAAAATAGTAAAATCTCTCTCAAGTCAAGCTTGACTCCTGCTGTTTTCACAGATGGATCTTTACAGCAGTAGGAAAGTGATTTGTCATTGCCTTAGAATCATAGGATCATAGAGTTGGAAGGGTCCTTGAAGTCTTCAAGCCCCCTGCCCAAGGCAAGAGTTTTCATGCCATCCCAGGCAAAGGGTTGTACCATTTTTTTCTTGAAAACTTTCGGTGAGGGAGCACCCTCAACTTCAGGAGGCAAATTGTTCCATTGATTAATCATACTCACTTTCAGGAAATTCCTCCTTATTTTGAGGTTGGATCTCCCGCTGATGAGCTTCCAACCATTACTTCTTCTCCTACCCTCAAGTGCTTGGGAGAACAAATGGACCTCTCTCTTCCCTGAGGGAGCCCTTCAAGTATTGGAAGAGGGCTATCATGTGTCCCCTAAGCCTTCTCCTCTTTAGGCTAAACATACCTAGTTTCTTTAGCCATTCATGATATGATTTAGCCTCCAGACCAGTGTTTCTCAACCTTGACAATTTTAAGGCACGTGGACTTCAACTCCCAGAATTCCACAGCCAGCATTGCTGGCTGTAGAATTCTGGGAGTTGAAGTCCACATGCCTTAAAATTGTCAAGATTGAGAAACACTGTTCCAGACCCTTCATCATCTCTCTTACTCTTCTCTGCACTGTGTCTATGGAGATTTTCCATCGTCCAGGTCATGGATATCTCAAAGGTGCTTTTTCAGGAGGCAACTGGACTTTCTTGTTTTTCTTTGAAGATTTTTTGTTTCTTACCCAAGAAACTTCTTCATCTCTGAGTGCATGGTGGGAATGGAAGGATTTATATTCCTTGCAGACAGCTGGTCATTTGCATTCTTTTAGAGAGTCATTGAGCCCACTTGGAGGTTTAGACACAGATAAACTCCAACTGTTCTCTAAAAGAATACAAATGACCAGCTGTCTGCAAGGAGTATAAATCCTTCCATTCCCCACCATCCAGTCAGAACTGAAGGAGCTTCTTCGATGAGAAGCAAAACGTCTTCAAAAAACAAGAAAGTCCAGTTGCCTCTTTAAAAAGCACCTTTGGGTCTTCTCTGCACTCTTTCTAAGGCCTGAGCACCTTTTTTGTATTATGGCGACCAAACCAGAGTGGTCTAGAGCAGTACTATCACTTCTCATGACGTTGATGCTATGTCTCTTAGAGTTGCATTGGGGTTTTGTTTTTTGGGGGGGGGAGCTGTTGGCAGCTGCAGCACTCTGTTGACTCATACTTAAGTGGTAGTCCACTAAATGTCTATGGAGATTCTCATCATCCAAGTCACTGTTGTCCCAAAAGTGCTGTTCAAAAGGCAACTTGTTTTTTTTTCCTTGATAAAGTTTCGCTTTTCATCCAAGAAGCTTCAAAATTAAAAACGACAATTTATATCAAATGTTCAAACGCTAGTGTTACACACGCAGTATGAATTTAAATAATGGCTGTATAAGCTCTTTTGCCACAGTTGTTAAGCAGATCACTGCAGTTAAATGAATCACTTGGGCATTAAGTGAATTGAACTTATAACAGAATAACAGAATTGGAAGGGACCTTGGAGGTCATCTAGTCCAACCCCCTAGGGGGCTCAAGAAGGAAACCCTATACCATTTCAAACAAATAGTTGTCCAATCTATTCTTAAAAACTTCCAGTGTTGGAGCATTCACAATTTCTGGAGGCAAACCGTTCCACTGATTAATTGTTTTAACTGTCAGGAAATTGTTCCTTAGTTCTAGGTTGCTTTTCTTGATTAGTTTCCATCCGTTGCTTCTTGTCCTGCCTTCAGGTGCTTTGGAGAATAGCTTGACTCCCTCTTTCTTGTGGCAGCCCCTCAAATATTGGAACACTGCTATCATGTCACCCTGAGTCCTTTTCACTAAACTAACCATACCCAATTCCTGCAATTATGTGTGGTTCACAACTCAGTATATTTGTAACTTTGAATGGTTGCTAAATGAATGGTTGCAAGTCAAGGATTACTTGTATCCCTTTGGAAGAAATGACATTGCAAAAGAAAGCTTGTTCTTAAGAAATTTTCTTTTCAGTAGGAATAGTTCTTGATAGATTTGCACTTAGCAAGGGAAAGAATAAAATACTATTTTGCATCATGCATTCTTGTCTCTTTTTTTTCTCTTTTGTTTCCAGAAAGTTCAGCAATACACAGTGATTGTTCAGGCCACCGATATGGAAGGAAACCTTAACTACGGTCTCTCGAACACAGCGACGGCAATCATTATGGTGACAGATGTGAACGACAACCCACCCGAATTCACTAGCAGCACCGTAAGTATCAATACATCAGCGCAATGATCTATGGACACACAACGTGTTTGTAATTCATGGACATTTGATATGACTTGTCTCTTGTTTGCTGGCTTGGCAGATAGGGAGCACTTGACAGATAATGGAGTAACGAAGGCTTTCAGCAAATAAAAATGGAGAGAGGCTGTGAAAAAATGATTCATGACCAAACACAGCTATCTGGCTTCCACTTTGTTCTGAGGCAATGAAAAATGGCGGGCAGGGGCCAGCAGAGGGATAGCGCTAAAAAATATCACAGCCTTTGCTTCTCCGTGACAAGAGTTGATTCTTCCTCTCAGGGTGTTTCCACGGAAGACATCTTCTCTTTTGCACTATGTGTGTAAATGGCTGAAGCTTGGTAATGCAAGTTATTAAAACGCCAGGCCAAAGCAAAGCATAACAGCTTTAGCCAAGGGAAGCTTTACTTCGTATTGTACAGATTTGGGAGAACCAATATGATCTACGGTTGTGGCTCAGTCAGCTTACTTCAAGATGCACGTCGAAACGTGAGCCAGTTGAATAGCTTGTCTCCCGAAGGTGCACAGAGGGCATGGAGATTTCCAGAAATTATAATACACAAAATCTTTATTTGTTCATATAGCCACCCAACTCACTCATGGTGACTTTGGATGGCTTACAGAAGTAAAACTCCAAATACAAAACTCAGTGAAACCTCACCACCCCTCTGGTGATAACAATCGAACAAACCACATGAGGGGTTCCATATCATGCTGGGGTTCCCAGGCCTGCTGGCAAAACCAGGTCTTTAGGGCCTCAGGAAAGATTATCAAAGTGGGGGACAATCTTTTCTTTGCAGGCATGATATTCTACAGGGAAGGAGCTACCACATAGAAGGCCCTTCTTCTTGGTCCCATTAGATGTAGTAGAATAATAATAGAATTTACCACAACTGAGCCTAAAATTTCCGTTGCTTAATGAGACAGTTGTTAAGTGAATTTTGCCCCATGTTATGATCTTTCTTGCCACAGTTGTTAAGTGAATCGCTGCAGTTGTTAAATTAGTAATATGGTTCTTAAATGAATCTGGCTACCCCAATGACTTTGTCTAATCACATGATCCTGTTGAAAGAAAAATCTTCATCAGAGTCCAGTCCAAGCCAGGAATAAATAAAATGGAGACTGCTTTAGAAAGAAGGCTGTAGTTTATTGAAGAGCAGAGCCAGACTAGAAATGTGGGTCTGGGAAAGCTGACCACATGTAGCTGGGAGTGGTGGGTTTGAATACCTTCTTGGGCTTTTGTGTTTGAAGATGTTCCTGTGGCATGAACTTTGACCTGAGGTTCAGTGTGCCCTTCTGGTATTGTGATGTCGGTGGGTTAATCCTATTGTGTCTTAAAGGCCATGTCCTGCTTTCCTGGGGCTGTGGCTAATGGCTACTTCCTGTGTTGGATTTCTTGGGTGAGGGGTTGCTGGTTCTAATTCTATCACTCTGCTGTTGTTAGCTGTCAGTTTTGCTGCAAGGATTTCAAAATATTTTGTTTTAAATGGGTTTTGCAGGCAGTATTTGCTCATGAATGGGGCCTCAGACCTTCTGAATGGGATTATCAAAGCTGCATTTCTACAGACCTGGCTTCTGTCTAGTTTCTGCTTGGGGCTGTTAAGAAAAACTGGGCCTGCTTTTCTGCCTTTAAGATCCTTTGGGGAACTATAATATTCTGTCTTTTTTAATATTCCCCAAAATATTTCCTTCTCGGGGGGGGGGGCTGACCTCCCACAATCCCAAAACATTGCAACTGTCATAAATATGAGTCAGTTGCCAAGTGTCTGAATTTTGATCACGTGACTACGGGGATGCTGCAATGGTTGTAAGTATGAAAAATGGTCATAAGTCACTTTTTTCAGTGCACTTGTACTGTCACTAAATGGACTCTTGTAAGTTGAGGATTACCTGCACATTTGAAATGTGAGAAGCCTTTATCTTCTGATACCTCCGAAAATAATATCCTTTCTGAGTCACTTTTTCAGTGCCCTTGTAACTTTGAATGGTCACTAAATGAACTGTTGTAACTTGACGACTAGCTGTTTTTTGATATAAAACTTCCCACAACTACCATGAAGGAAGATTGGCCTTTGGAAATTATGGAAGAACTTTCCCTTCTGAGAAGAAAGAACACTCCAGAGAATGGCAGTGTTAGAAATTCTGTTTATATAAAGCACCACAGAGCAAACAAAGAGTATAGTCACCATGTGTTTTACTCCTCAACTATATTACTTCCTCAACAGGAAACTCTACTTGGCACAAAAGAGAATATACCATAGATCCAAACTTGTAAATGCTGCCATCTACTGGTTGAATATTACTGTCAATGTTGCATAGAAATATATTCCAACAATGAATTCTAACAGGTAGAATGTTCTATGATGGGAACAAAGTTGTGCACACAATACCTTCTAAAAGTAGTACTTCAATGCTCTAAATAACCCTGTCACCTCACTGGCTCTTACTATGGAGAGTAAAAGCTTTTCTTTTGTGTCACCTCTCCTGACTCTGAACTTCCTTGAGTGTCTAGTCTAATGCACGCAGTAGTTGGAAGGTGAGAGGACAAGCAGTTTCAAATGACAGGTTAGCAAGTATCAAAGGAGTTTCCTTTCTACTTTTATTTGAGTGAAATGTGGTGACATCTAGTGGTTGTGATTTTTTTCATATTTACTGTCATTTGTACATTCTTGTCAAAGCTACCGCACTAATATATAAAAGTTAAAATGTTTATCAAGGGTCTGTGGAAATCCATCTACTTCTTCGGTGAAACAAAAGGAAAGTTTACTCTTGCTAATATTTGAAGGGAGGGAAGGAGGGAGGGAGAGAGGGAGGAAGGAAGGAAAGGAAGGAAGGGAGGGAGGGAGGAAGGAAGGAAGGAAGGAAGGAAGGAAGGAAGGAAGGAAGGAAGGAAGGAAGGATGGATCTACAGAATTAAAAATGACAATTTATATCAAATGTACAAACGCTAGTGTTACTCATAGGACTGTATGAATTTAAATAATGGTTGTCTCTCAGAAAACAATGAAATATTTTTAACATGAATTTTACTGCTTTCAGTGTAAAATGTACAGCTAATTATTTCAAATATTGAAAATCTGAAGTCTCGTCTATGGTATTTTGAGACACTTTATTCCATTGTCCCAGCCCCTAAAGATCCCTGTCTTTCTCAATTCAATTATTTACTTTCCATAGAAAATATCTTGCCTGATCAAGCCATGCTTGATTTTTGCATGCAAGGGATAACGGAAGACTGGGTTCCACCATCAGAATGACACCAAATAAATTTCCTAGGAATACATTACACGATGCACTTCAGCTTCTCGATTCAATGGAACACAATAGCATTCTCCAAATACCTGAAAACCTACCACAGAGAAAAGGGCAGGCCCTGTTCCTTGCTGCCACAGGGACCCCCTTAAAATTAAAGATTTTGGTTGAAGGTTCATACAAAATTTCTTTCCTATAAGGGCAGTTAAGTAATAAAATCACTTATAAGGATGTGAATTCTGTCCTGTTGGACATTTTCAAGCAAAGGATGGACAGTCATCTGCTAGAGATTCAGTAGGTACAACTAGTCGTCTACATATGACAATTGAGCCCAAAATATCTGTTGATAAGTGAAACATTTGTTAAGTGATTCTTCTCCCATTTTACCACTTTTCTTGCCACAGTCATTAAGTGAATAACTGCAATTATTAAGTTAGGAACACGATTATTAAGTGAATCTGGCTTCCCCATTGATTTTGCTTGTGAGAAGGTTGCAAAAGGTGATCACATGACCACCGGGACATTGCAGCCGTCATAAATATGAGTCAGTTGCCGAGCATCCAAATTTTGATTATGTGACCATGCTGCAACAGTTGTAAAGTGTGAAAAACTATCCTAAGTCCCTTTTTTCAGTGCCGTAATAAATTTGAACACTCACTAAATTAACTGTTGTACTTTGAGGACTACCTGTATACATGCTTTCACTGAGAAGGACTTTGGACTAGATTCTGCAAGACGTTCTACAGACAATTATCCGGGTTGGTAGAGAACTTACCTGCACTGAGAAGAGAATATGGCTTAAGTCTTTAGACTAATATGGGATATTATCATGTAAGGCGCTAATACGTTCAACTTTTTACTTTTCTCTGGACTAAAAATGCAGAGATAATCTTCTAAATAATGAATTCCTGTCATGTATCAATGCGTCCCAGCACACAAGACTGGCAGTTCTATGCTCGTATTGTTTTGTTATTCTTGAAGCAAATAATGCAAGTATTAAAACCGTAAGGAAAACATAGGAAGCCTTTAGAAACTAAATATTATCATTGGACAAGCAGCTGTAGAATGGAATTTTGAAGCAGAAGCTCAACAGGTCAATAGGTCTAACCAGGATGGAGACCATCTGAGAAGGCTGGCTTGATTTTCATGATTAAAAAAAAAACATTCACGATATAAATATGCAAAATTAATAGAAAAGCAAAGGTAATTTTGAGTGCCAGAATGGACAGTGCTAGACTTGGTCAATTCTTCTTGCAAATTAATGGATCAACACTCTGACCTTGCCAGTTGGCTTCATACAAAGGCAATGAGGGAAGCCTTGGTATGATCACACTTGGAATATTGCATCCAGTTTTGTTTGCCATAATATAAAAAAAGATGCTGAGACTCTAGAACAACGGTTCTCAACCTGTGAGTCACGACCCCATTTGGGGTTGAACGACCATTTCACGGGGGTCGCCAAATAACGCAGTCCGCCATTTTTTCCCCTTTTCCTTAGCTGTGCTACTCCCTTTTACTCTATTGGCTTTTGAAAGCCAATAGAATAGACTCTCTTGAATAGAGTCTAATTCTATTGGCTTTCAAAAGCCAATAGGAATTGTCCAGGCTGTCTCTGCTCTGCTGAGCCCGTCAAAAGTCCCATTCTGCAAACGGTGCTGCAAGTTGTCTGCAGCGAAGGCGAGCTGTCTGGAAATTTCCACCCCTCCCTACTGAGCA